ATTTTACGTCTTTATTTTAGCACTGGGAACCCACACAACGACACAACGACGTGAATTTAACAGACCACACTCTGTGTTGATTTGAATACTTTTCCACTTCGTCTCCTATTTTAAATCAGTTATCCAATTTATTATATGGCTGAGAAAATTACTGAGGGTTCAAGAAAATTTGCAAATGTGATTGGTTGAGAGCAGGGCAATTTATCGTTAATTCCTAATTTGCACTGCAGTGCAAATTAACGTGCGTGCTTTCGCAATTTTCTGAGTCATATAATAAATGAGTAATCGTCCGAATGCTCGAGCAATTAAGGATTTACACTACTCGTGATACAGTCGAACCTCTATTAAGCGGCCACTCTCGAGGACGAGACAACTGGCCGCTTAATAGAGGTTCATCCGAAAACAACGTTAGGCGTGGTCCAGTTTTCAGTTTATACAAATGTAAGTACAAAAAACTGCAAGTGCGGAAAAAGTAGAACAATGATGATTATAATACGGTCCATAACGTTAACAAAAGCCAAGGGCGTGTACAGACGCCACGTGTGTGTCAACCCAACATTAGCTAACATTGACTCGTGTGCTGTACAAACAACCTAAATCGCTTGAGACTTTGTTTTGTGATTGTTTTAATTAAATACTGCTGAAAATGTGTTTTTAGAGTGTCCCACATTGTCATTCTTTTGCCTTCATCTGGCTAAAAATGTTAACTTTAAATCTTCCTGGCCTTTTAATAGAGGTATAAAACAAAACAAAACCACCCTTGGGACGGCAAGGAACTGGCCGCGGCCGCTTAATAGAGGTGGCCGTTGAATAGATGTCTTTATTACAGTGTATAGCTGACAATTTTTGCAGGACTTTGGCCGCTGGCCGCCAAATAAAGTTTGGCCGCTTAATAGTCGGCCGCTTAATAGAGGTTCGACTGTATTTGGAAACTCTTTCAAGTTGCCCTCGCCTAAAGGCTTGTGCAATGTTGAGAGAATTTTGAAAATTGCACTCGCATCCGTACGAATACCTATACTTATTTTCCATATTATTTCTTCTGCAGGGCTAATTCTCATTTCTGAGTTACCACGAATACAGAGCTAAACCAGGATCCAAGCACTCAATGATGAGCAAGCCTGAAAAATCTTACGTAGAAGGTATCATTCTTGCATCGATTTATTTTCTGAACAGAAGTACAGGCAATTCCCGTTAACACATAACCCACGATAACTTGAATCTCGCGCTAACTCGAACCAAAATTGATTTCCCCTCGGTAACTCGAACTTGCTGCTAACTCGGAGCAATCTTCGTTTTCCTTCGATTCATCTTCTGTACATTTTTACCCTTGATAATTCGAACCATGATCGTCAATACGTGACAACTCAAAACACTGAAAACAATCAGTGCTGTGATCCAAAACATTGAGACTATTTCTTTTCTTTTTCGCTAAACATAGAGAAAATGATCCATCAAAAGAAATAAAGGGGCCACCGAACGTCCGATATCGTTAAATCAAGGCAAAGCTGTAGCAATGGCCATCTGCCCTATCATTGTTCATTTTATAACTTAGAGTGTGAATTTGCGTGCGCAGTAACGATGCGCAGAAACAATTCGAGTTATCGGCAGTTGACTGCAGTATAGATTTGGTTAAGCGTCAATCAACCGCCTTCTTGGTTAGAGCGGCAGTTTGCAAGCACAACACGTCCCCCTTTTCTTGCGGTTTCCTGGTCAGTACAAAAAATCGCGACTTCTGGGCTGGTCCAACACTAGACGTCGGCGATTCAGGGACTTCCGTCAAAATCTGGCAAATCTGATTGGCTGAGAATACGAAACGAATACTCTGTGCATGCTCAGAAAATTGGCACCGGCCAGAGGTTGCGATTCTTGGTGATGACCAATGGTACAACGAGCGAAAGCAAATTAAGCGCATGCGTACTAGGGACTGTTGACACATTTGCAACTTTTCTTGAACCCTTAAGAAGTTCAATTTTGTATTTTCTTTCCCAGAACATTATCGCTCGGTAGCTAACAAGTACGAATACCTCTACAAAGAAATGTATAAAGGATTCCTTCCCCATCTGATGAAATCCTTGGACTTGAAGCCGCACCACATTGTCGCAGACATTGGTAGTGGAAACGGCTTCATTGCCGAGAACATCTTTGAATCGTTCGTGCTGAAAAACCCTGTTTGGTGCGTGGATCCCAGCGCAGAAATGCAAGAAGTAGCGCGTAAAAGGAAAGGAACTTACCCCGTTCAAAAAACGGCGGAAGAATTTTTTTCTGATTCGAAAATCAGCCAGTGTTTTGATACGATTCTAGCAGTATTCAGTACACATCACTTTGTTGATCCCAATTCTGTGTACGAGGGAATATTTCGTTCTCTTCGACCCAGTGGTTCATTTGTTCAATTTGACTCGATGAGTCATAGTCATCCAATGTTCAAAATGGCCGCGAATGGCTACAGCAGCTATTTTCAAAAGGTAAGCGAGAGGAAGGAGTTTTTCCGTGAGATTAAGTTTCAGGGGAAATTCTCCCAAGAAGAGTTCTCCTTTGCATGGAGTCTGACAAAATCCAAGTTATATGAGATGTTTCGGCGTCGTTACGTGAGTACATTTTACCAGTTCACCGATGAACAAATTGAAGAAGGAATTAAAGAAGTCGAGAGCGAGACGTTAAAAGATGTGAAGGATGAGGATCTCATCAACTGTAACACTGTGGTTCTGGTGACGAAATTTGAACTTGAGTAGCGCTAAATG